ATGTTTTCTATTTAGTATATAGCGTACATATGTATGTAGCCAGGGTCTCTACCAATCCCCAGGTGTTTTATACCTGCACACAACATGCGTGCATGCTTTCTATTTAGTATATTGCTACATATGTACATAGCCCGGTCTCTCACCTTGAACTAAATCAGCTTGTGATTCATCTTGAGTAGGACTGGAGCTCTGTAATCGTCTTCCAGGACTGTCTCTGTCGACGTATAGATTATCAGAAATGAGAGCGGTATTGAATTGCTACAGCACCTGGTGTCCTCGATTTCCTTATTGGTGTAGAACATGATACTATGTTCTATTGTTATAGCTACGACATTTTCCGATATAACGAACACTCTCATTGGTTGAAAGACGACCACGTGACACTAGCATAATCTAAATGTATCCCGACCGGGAAATAAGTAAATTAGTTCCCGGTTAGGAAATTACTTGCACGTGACAAAATAAACAAGTGCAGCAGAAAACGCAGATGGCGTGATATTTTGCACCAATCACAAACAACAAAGCGGGAGCAAATATTTTGCAATAAGCCTTTTCATAGTTTAAGAATCGATTCCACTGCGCATGCGATTTTATCCCGAATTTCTCATCTTCTTTTGTCTAAACCTTCTTTTGTTCTTAATTAAACAAAAGAAGGTGAGAAATTCGGGATAAGATCGCATGCGCAGTGGAATCGATTCTTAAACTATGAAAAGGGGCTTATTGGAGCTTAAACAACAAGCAAAACAAAACAGAGATTTTCCAGTGTTTCTACAGAGAAATTACAGACTTGCACTGAGAAAAAGGATTCGGAAAATACGAAAAAAGCGACTAAAAATGCTGTTGCTACTCTCCTCGCTTTTTGGTAGAGAAATACAAGACCGCATGTGAGTTGTATTTGTAAAATCATGTTCAGTTTTCATGCATTTAGCTTGCTAAATAAAGTTCTTATTTCGTTAACTGACTTCTCAATACTTCTTAATTGCTATATAACAAAACACTTAATGTCTGGTCCCTCGGGAAATTAATTATAGTTTGGTTCTCCCTCGAGTCTTGAGACATCGAGATTCTCGGGAAAACAAAACTATTTCCCTTACGACCAGACATTAAGTATATATTGTAACATACCTGGTTGAGGAGGAGGTTTGGTTCCTAATTGCTGTGCATTTATCGACGGATTGCTGCAAAAAGGGATTATCAATTTGCATTGAACACTGGTCAACCTTTATATACTATATATATACTATACTTGGGTGGTATAGCCTAGCCACAAGGAACCTGTATTTTATCCTCATACCCCATTGGTTCAACCAATTACTTTACCTCTAGTTCAGTGTCAGTTCTACCACTGGCTGTAATGTCTGTACTCTCAATCCCTGCTGACTTGTTTTCGCGTAACTTCTTTTTTAGTTCTCTACAGGTCTTTTTGTAATAATAAACATCTCGCTCCAACTGCTGTACACGGGAATGATTGTCACTAAAATATAAAAAATAATTATATGTATATATATGATATATATGATAGCCGAATATCTAGTATTAATGCTCACAATGTACACTGTTTATATTTCACCGAAAACATTGTATTTAACCTTTATTGAAACTTTTTAAATTGAAAATTACCCATAATGCACCCGATATATCGATATTTATTTTATTTACTGAATTTTTGCAAAAGCGCTATATATACGTATATATACATACATATATATATATATATATATAATAAATTGGTCACGAAAAAAGAGACAATTCACCGCTAAAACCATTGGTCAACTGAAGCGTGCAAGATTCCTGTCGTCAGTAAGAAAGTGAAATAAGCCTGACCGACATGTGCAACGACTCTCCAGTACTATATGGTATATTGTGAATATCAGTTGACGCTCAAACAAGACTAACCCTGAGTAAATGAGTCTTTAATAAAAAAGACCTGGTAAAATTCGTTTTGCTATCGGCCAATCAAGTTTAGATGCTTAAGCAACGGTTATTCTCTACCTTTCTTTTCCTTCGTGACGAACAGCATTTTCAGCGTCTCTTACTTGACTCATCAAGAACTGTATCTTTTGTTCGTGTTTTTGCTGCAAGTTGGTGACTTTGCGTTCAGCCGCCATTAGAGCCTGCTGTAATCCTCTTTGTAACTCTCCAATGATTCTTTCTTGTTCGTCGATCTTTACATCCTTCTCGTTACAGTCCAGATGCAGTTTAGCTTCAGTTTGTCTTAACTGAATGACCTTGTCCAGGTATTTAGACAACAGGTTCGTGGCTTCTTCTCTTGGAAGTGATTTGATCTCGGTTATCAGTTCGATGTTTAAATCATCATTGGACTGCAACTGCTGTTGTTTGTTCTTTATTGAGTCATTTTTGTATTCGATAACAGCATCTAAAGCCTCGATACCTTCGTCCAATTCTATCAACCTAAAGCAGAGTACAATAAACAAGTTTTATTCAAATATAATTCAGTCAAATTCAACTAGTGGTTTACCATCAATGCTACGTTCTGATTAGATAAGTTACCACTAGGCATTAAGTTATAGCCTACTAGTCGTATATATTTGACTACCGACTAGTTGGATTGAACTAAAACAACTGTTCCTAAATAAACCCACCTTCTTTCCTCGCCTGGATCAAGCAGTTCTCCATCTTGCAATTTACTTTCCAATATATTCCTTTGTTTGTGTAATTCATCTCTGGTTTGAAGGAGCCCAGTGAGTGGTGTCTTAACACATACATCAACCCCTGTCATCAGTGTAAAAACTACGTCAAGACATTCCCGATTCTCAAATTGAATTGGAATTCAATGATGCTGAGTAGAATTGTTTGTTGATTTACTCATGTGCTTCAAGGGTTTCGTGAGTATGTGACACATACCTGGTTCTGATTCTTCGTTTTCTTTTATTTCTCGCTCGACTTTCATTAGCTGGGTAGACAACCGTAGAATGTCCTGAAGATACAATACATGACAAAATACATTAAACATATTTACCAACTTACTTCAAATCCTTACCCCATACTACCCAAGTTATTATAATTACCATAGACTTGCCCCAAGTCGACCTTTCTCGGCGGACTTTGCGTAAGTCTATAATTACCATTACCAATGGGGTTAGGTTTAGGGTTAGGGTCTGTTGTACAAAGCCTGGATAGCGAAGAGCCTGGTTGAACGAAGGGTGAATAGCGCTATCCAAGGGATAAATCCTTATCCATTGGACAAATTTATTGGATAACAGCATCGACTTATCCACTGGAAAAGGATTTATCCGTTTGGATAGCGCTATTCACCCTTCGTTCAACCAGGCTCTTATTGACTAAGTTACTAGTAGCAACCGTCGGTCACTTGGCAAGACCATGTGCGCAACGAGGTGCTGCATGGAAAGCTATCGCGCAAAATACGTTGTAAGAGACCGTAGCTTGCAGGCCACTTGCTCACACCACAGTGACATACAACTCAGTTGTCCACGGCAGGTTGAGCTTCTTGTCGAGGTCAAAAGCTATTTTTCATAGATCAGCTTAGGCGTTACACTGTTCTGCAGTCAACTGATGAGATCTGGGAGTGTAAGAGACACAGACCAACATGGCAAGCCATCGCCACCTAACCCTAACAATCGAGGAGACCCCACAGGATGATGATTATCTTACTAGTACACATGGCTAAAACTTGTTTTTACTGTAAAAATACTGAATTTTTGCAGCTGTTGTTTCATGTTAAACTATTATTTAATGGAAGAAATAGGACAATGGTGTTAATAGGCAAACACAGCAAATGTTCGTAGCCAACAATCAAGAAATTAAGAAGAACTTGTCTATGGCTGAAACATTCGCACAATTTAGATTAGCTTTTGACAAAGCGGAATGTTACATCGAAAATTATAAACAACATAGTCTTATCGAATCCGCAAATATTAGTATTTAATCCCACTAGATATTTTTTCTACTACAGAGTTAATATTACTGAATAGGAAAGCAAAATCAGCTAAATACCTTGTTTAGTATTTGACTTGATCGTAGTTTCTTAATTTCCAACGCGCTTTTCTCATTTATCATAACTTCTCTGTTTTTTACAATTTCTTCTCGTTTTTTCAAGTCTTCCTCGAGGGCTTCCATCGCCTGCTTCTGCTGCAGGACTTTGTCAATCTCAGAATCTAACCATTGTTGTTTTTTCTGATAACCCATGGTATCATCCCTGAAAGTAACACCATGTGTGTTCTTATGTTGTGAAAACACTTGTGAAAACACGTGTGAAAACATCTCAGAACTCATGCACATTTTTAATTTACGACATTGTTGAATACGATACCGTATACTTACTGTATACAGTATTGATTTGCTCTTTCCATGTCTGGTGCTCCTTCTATTCTGACAAACTATTTATTTCAGGAGGGGTGGGAGGGGGGACAAGGGGTAGGCTCACGTGAGCTGCCCTATTAATACTGGTTTGGTAAACACTAGGCAACTTGTCTTACATATTGATAAGACGATGTGTAAGAGTAATTGGCAGTGTAACATACCAAAATCATGTCTAGTTGAACACCCCTCGTGGAATTCTTTGTATAACCGCCAATAATATTACATCGCGCTATAGCTTTAATATTTGAATTGGATATTAGAGCGAACATACCCCTTATCATCTGAACCCTGTTTATTGATCGTCCTCAGCCTTCTTTGTGCGTTAGCCACCTGTTCTGTTTTGCGTTTAATAATCTTCTGCTGCTGTTCTCCCTGTTTTTCCAGTTCTTTAATCCTCTGAAGGTGTTTACTCATATCTCGTTCAAGTCTACTTTTCTTCTCACTCTCTTCTTTTAAACGTTTGTTCACAGTCTCCTGTTGGTTCTTCATTCGTTCCATGTAACTTTCTAACTCTTTCAGCTTCCTCTCTTTTTCTTGATGAAATAAAGTCATTTTCTCTCCATCCTGGAATGTAAAAAAATTTCAACCTTTATATAGCTACCTCTATATCTCTTTTCACGATAACGCCACTCATACCACAAGATATAATGACGGAAGACAAAAACTTAAGACTGATGGGTTCTCTGGGTTAAACTGTATGATTATAGACTCATTACCATCTAGGGTTAGGGCTAACAGGATCTTCTACAGCATACCTTTTGTTTTTTCTCGAGTGCTTGCAGTTTTGATTCCATAGCCTGTAGCTTTTTCTTATATTCCATCTCTGTCTTTCTTTTTTCGCTAGTTTCAACATTTGCTTTACTTCTGCTCTCCTCTAGGATCTTTTTGCTATCATCAACTTCCTTCTTTGCCGCTTCCACCTCATCCTGCAAACTCTGAACCTTTTTCGAAAAATGCTTCTTCATTTTCCTTTCTTCTTGTTCGCTCTTCATAAGTTCTTTGATCAGCTCCTCTTTTTGCCTTTGAAAAAATTAAAAGCGTTAAAATATTTGCACTGATTATTCTCGCTAGAAATATATGCAAAGAGCATTTGCAAACGTTTTGAACGCGAGTGATGTAATGGATATCCTTATCAGCCTACGATGAAGATCAAACACTGCTTATTATGGTCATTCAGCTCAATTGAGAGTCTAATGTATGTCTTACCCTTTGTTTACTGGTGTTTGAATTTATCTTATATTATTTTACATACACTACAATACAATACACTTACACATACCTGATGTTGATAGTCAAATCTCTCATTCTGTGCTGGGCCTCTTGAAGCTTTATTTCAGTTTGTTTCACTTCTTGACTTATTACTTGGGTGCTGGACCGTAGACTCTTTAACAAATCATTGCTGTTTTTCTCAGTCTGAAAGACGATGAATAAATGAATAAATGAGTGAATGAATGGATGGATGGATGGATGGATGGATGGATGGATGGATGGATGGATGGATGGATGGATGGATGGATAAATGGATGAAGAAATGAATGAATGAATGAATGGATGGATGAATGAATGAATGAATGGATGGATGAATGAATGAAGAAATGGATAAATGAATGAATGAAGAAATGGATGCATTCATGCATGCTAAAAAGGTACTGTAAGAGCTTACATTATCAGTAGGTTGTAGTCCACTAAGAGTGAAAGAAGGTATATTTCTTTCCCCAACAAGATTTCCTCTAACCTTCCAAGTTCTTCCAAGTTCCCTGTAAATTAGCAGAAAGACCATATCAGGAGTTAATGAAATTATCCTTGAATTATTCAGATAGTGAGAGGTAATGTCTGGGAATAGGGGTGCTCCATCCCTCATCCAGCCTGTATCAGCCCCTCAAGCATGTGTTCTAAACCTTGAATCTTCCTTTTCTTTGTCTTGTTCTTCTTCACTTTCACTTGATTCAGACAGAGTACACAAGACCTCGTCTTTCTCTTCATATCTTCTCATCAACAACTGGCTTCGAGCACGAAAACCTTGAATCATTCGATCTGCAGATAACTAAAATGTAACCACAATAAAACCTAATGTTCTGAGAATAAATCAAGTTAATCCTTTCATAATGGTGTAATGTTCTCCCATATCACACCAAGATTCATTCCCTAGAGGGAAGTTGTATCCATATCCATGTGTTTTATGATGAACAACCGTTAAACAAAACAGAGTTCTAAAGAGTTTTATTTGATGGTAAAAAGAAAGAAAATAAAAGGAACATACAATGGATGGACTGCTATGCAAATCTCTTCCCTCAAGTTTAGTGTCTATGCCAGTGTGATCTGTTGGAGCTGTGTTAGCTCTTAAACGACCATAAGCTGAAAAATATGGAAATACATTTGAATCATTTTAAAAATATTGATTTAAAGACGAGAACAACAAGTGGTTTCATACCTTATAGTACACTCAACAAAATTACTCGACTCTGGTTGGTCCAGAGGAGTACAATTATAGCGTTAATTGTACTCTGTAGGAATACCGAATTAAGTCGCTATGGCAACATGGCCAAAACAATGTGAAAGCAAATATTTTCTACCATTTTGTACTTAAAAAACATATAAATGAAATTGTTAAAGCCGTAAGAACTAATCATTTTTATGCATCTCAGTTGCACGATGGACTGAAAATCGGCCACCAAATAGACAAAGATGAATGGCGTCACTTCGCATTTTTTACTGAAATTTTGTTGAGTGAACTATAAACAAAAAATCGCAAGATCTTCTCGTACAATTTGGAATTGATAGACACTCGTAATGTTTTGAAAGTTATTTAATTGCACACGCCCAAAGGCTCGTGCAATTATAAGAACTTTCAAAACATTACTCGTGTCTATTAATTTCCAAATTGTATGAGAAGATCGTGCGACTTCCTATACAAACACCTCTTCCTACTAACAGTAAACTACTCAATCCATGTCCCTTCAGCATTACATCATAGTACATACCAGGTCCTACAGTAGACTGCTTATGTCCCTTCAGCATTACATCACAGTACATACCTGGTCCTACAGTACACTGCTCATGTCCCTTCAGCATTACATCATAGTACATACCTGGTCCTACAGTAGACTGCTCATGTCCCTTCAGCATTACATCATAGTACATACCT